ATGGGAGAAGGAGAAGGGGAGGAAAGGGGAGGAGAGGGTGGAAGAGGATGGTGCACGGACCAGCGGAGCATACGTCGAAACCATTGTGTAAGGCGAGTTACATGTATTTGATGTCGACGCTGGCGAGCTCGAATGTAACAAGTCCATCCACGGGCCAGTGTTGACGGAGCATGAYCACGCGAGAGCAAACGGCGGACAAGCATGGTTGCTGCCGTTTTGAAATCACGCCARTTGTCACAGATCTGCTCAAACCGCGTAAGCTGGCCAGTGAACACACCTGCAGGCTGATGAGATGGAATGTTCGACGTTGCACTAGGATATCGTATAACAGGAAAATCCCATGCAATGGTCTTATCAAACACACTCAATCTGAGAGATCCGTCTGCTCGTGYCTGCAGTTTCGCACCTAAGAAGGTGCACGAGCCATCTGCCGCAGTGGTCTCCTTCCATTCAAGACCATAATGGGCTGATGATGGTGGCAGATAATCAAAGGTAAGAACATCATCAATGAACCGATATGTAAAAGCATATCGGCGAGCAGCAGAGGGATCCACACGCTGCAGGTTGTCCACGTACTGCGCCTCATCCCAATAGAGTGTAAGATTGGCAATCTCAGGACCAGCGTTCGTACCCATAGGGATACCGACATCTTGATGACGAACAAGGCCATCCGCTGTATACAAATATGTATTTGTAACAATAAACCGAAGATGTTGAAGAATGTCAGAAACAGAAAGAGTGTCAGGTCCATATATATATATGTCCACGTGGGCGGCCTTGTACGCAAGAGGTTTTGAACAGGGGGAGTCTTGTAAGGAAGAAGATTGAAAAAATGAATTTGTTTTTCTTTGTTTTCTTTTTGTTTTCCTTTCGCTTTTGCGCTCTGACAACTTTGTGACAATATATATTCCTTCCTTTTTTTTTTCTTTTTTTTTTTTTCGCTTTCGCGCTCTGATTTACAGTGTGACAATATATATCCCTTCATCTTCTCTTTGCTATGGGGGAATGTGCGTTTACTGTGGCTTGTAGTGAATGGTGGTCGGCATTTGTTTTTTTTTTTGAATATGAGTCTGTCATGGAAGATCTCTGAGGGGTGTGGGTGAAGCAACTTTGGGCGAAGAAGAAGAATAGTGAAAACGTTTTCAGATTTCTCCTCCTCCTCCTCCTCCTTTTGTGTTCGAGGCTCTTGAAATTCAGTGGAACAAGAAGACGAGCCTTCAGAGCGCAGTAGAGGTTTGGTGCTCGGGACCTGTTGCGCCATGAGCATGACACTTAGGGAGTGATTCTGATCAGAATGGTGATCGGTTTACCGTCCTTCATAGTAGGCACACCATGGCGGAAGAAAAACCGGAGTTGAAAGAGGAGGGGGAGGAGGAGGAGAAGAAGTGGGTACTGGGAATGATACTCATACTGTTTTGTAAATGGCGACTTGTTTTTAATGCAGATCGAGTCGTATGCATCAACTGAGAATTTGAGCATTGTGGGCTATTATCATGGGAATGAGCGCTACGATGACGTCGACTTTGGCAATGTGGGCAGCAGGATCGCAGCGAAGATTGCGGATTATTTCCCTGATGCGTGCGCTCTTCTGGTAACGTGCGCTTTTTTCTTTCCTTCCCCCGATTGCCTGGGATCTTCATGACGAGGATGTGTATGCTGTGTGTCTGCACACACACACACACACACACACACACAGAGAGAGAGAGAGAGAGAGAGAGAGAGAGAGAGAGAGAGAGAGAGAGAGAGAGAGAGAGAGAGA